AAAGCTGCTTTGGATATTCGTTACTAATTCTTCTGGGGAGAAAAAGACTCTGTGAAGGTTACTCAGGTTTCGCAGAAATAGAAAATCACAGAGAGTTCTTATCTCATAAAATAAAATCTATCCATCCAAGCCTTTTATGAAAGGTTAGACACTGTGGATATTGATGTTTTTGATAGATGAAATGCTCCCAAACCAGCTCATCCCAATATGAGTCCTCAGACTGAGACTTCATATAAACAAGAGGTTCCCCCAGGGTTTAGACTTTCAAGTGGATGATTAACTGGCAAAGCTAAAAATCCAGTTTCTTGATACAAAGGAACTATACGTTTCAAATTAATGAAGCAATCATTCCCTTAGATGACTTTTAACATTGCACCAGGTTTTCAACAAGAAACACTGATAAATCTTGTGATGCATTTTCCATTACTCATTTGAACATATCCACTAGATTATGAACTAGTTTTTTATGGACTTCAGAGAATACCAGTTCTCTTTGGAGAACTAAAAAGTATTTTTGGAGAGGGATCTACTCAAAATAATGAATTTTGTTTTGTCTTGTTAGTCTTCCTCAAATTCTTCATCTTCCATCTTTATTTATACCCACATTGGCTACAAAATTTTGACAGGATGCTTCGAGACCCAGTTGGATGATAACATCCCCATTGAGACTGGACACGTAAAAAGGTTCCCTTGGGGTATTTTTGTTGTTTGTTTTGGTTGGTCAGGGCTTTTTTCTGAGTGTGATCTTATGGAAATGAAAAGGTTATTCTGTGCTATTATAATGGGTCAGTAAGTTGTCCAAGTGTTGTTCATTAAGGACCCCGTGAAGAACGCTTTGTACGTGACCTTTCTATACACAAAAATTAGAAAAGGGCAATAAAAATGCATACAGCCAAGAAGTTTCAAGTTAAAATGGTTTGCAATGCTTAAATTCACTCTGTTCAAAAAGAAAACATAATGCAATAGATATATGTATAATATTTAAATGAAGGGTAAGTTAACTGTTATAATTATATATTAGTTAACTGTTATAATTATATACAAAGATCTCACTAGAGAGGAGAATTACAGGAACGCACTGAAACATTCCTGTACGTGGGTTAAGGGTGGAGAAAGGGACAGAAAATTGCCAATCTCATCTTAAAATACTCCTGTGTAATTTCAAAGGCCTCAGCTAAAAAAAATATAAAATAATGCAGACAAAATATAATTGTTGACTTTCATGTTATGTCAACACTTGTTAAAAAGTAAGGCAGTGCCAAAGCATGTGGTTTTAAATTTATTTTTTTCCCAATGTATTTCAGTTTGCCTTTACATTTCTCTCTGATTTGTTTTGAAAGTTTCTCTACTCAAGACTAGAAAATAGTTTTGCTGTATTTACCATTTCCTTTTTCAGTTGTTTGTAAGAAAAGTACCACAATATAAAACATGAATTGTTGTGGAACTTCACTCCAGTGTTTTATACCTTCATTTTAATCCCATTTTGTTCTGACAGGAAAGGAATAGCAAATTTTGTTGGTTCTATGTCAGGTTTTGAGGCTAACATGAAGACAGTTAACAAACTCAAATTTCCATACTAAAAACCAGTGCATTTTTCTAAGACTTTCACTGAATGCTCAAGTGGAAGGTAGTGTTTGTACAAGCATCCCCGTTTGTTCTGGTTCAGGAATCGAGAGAGTTATGGCAATTCATTAGTATTAAAAAAACCCCAAAAAACAACAAAAACTCACTGAAATTCTGCAATGTTGGAGATGTATGCAATAGAGAAAATATGCAATATTAGGAATGTACATATTTATCAGGTGTTTTAGCATGTCAAACCTAAGCATCCATTTCAAAATGTTGGGTAGGAACAAGAATCTCTGTCTGGGTCTGCACATGTGGACAGGCTTCAGTAGGATAAATGTGTGGGGAATGCACACTTGTCTATGTCTTGTGACAAAGAAAGCAAGGTGTTCCAGTCTTTCAGCTTTGGACACTGAAGGTGCAAAGGCGATTATGAAAGAATAGCCAATGTTCTCTAAAGTCAGGATTCCTTTGCCCCTTTTTTTGTGTAGTTTTTTTCCCTGCTGATAATCTCAGAAGACATCAAATTCTAACAAACAGAGAAAAAGAGGGAGAGACAGGCCTGCTAAGTGCTGGGCTGTTATAACAGGAAGGAGTGTTACCCTGTCCTGCAATATTCATTGCCACTTCTAGGAGAGCAGTGAAAGACAGATAAAAGTAAACACCATTTTGCATGGCAGGTCGGGAACTTCCAGAACTCATTGCTGCAGGAGGTTGCGTTGACAGACAAGCATAAGCAGATTCCAAAAGATATTTTTATAGGCACCAGGTCTAAATAATGAGAAGATACAAAAGAGAAGGAGAGATGTGGCCTGCAGCACCCCTGACAGGATGGCTGTGGTTGCTGGCAGAGTGCAGGAGGAATGGAGAGCAGGAAATGGATGTACTCCCATGCTTTCCTGAAAGAGCCATCCCACTGTTGCTGACCACAGCAGTGTCATGGCCTGGGTGCAGGGGCATCTCTCACTTTCTTAGCTCACTTCTGCCTAATGTGAATTGCTTAGACCAAGAATGTCAGAGCTCCCCTGCAGTGCAGGCAGAATTTACCTCTGTGCCTGTGACAGAGTTGCTGCTTTAGGCACCACTGTGCCCGGGAGCGGTGAGTGGAGGGAAAGCTGTGCCCGGCCACCAGGATGTGTTCCTGTGGTCCTGCTGCCCAGGAATTGCTCTGCTGCTGCCACAAATACAGCACAGGATGGCTGAATATTCACTCTTGATCAGCAGCTTCCCCAGCACCCAGAGAATGCAGATTTGCCTCTCGCTAAGCCCTGGCTTTTCTGCCACACATCATTTTGCAACCACAGCTAAGTGCTCTGTGTAAGACTAGAGTTGGTGTATTACAATGTGACAGAGCTCCCTGAATAATTTATATCTACAGCTCCATTTCATACTTATTTGTTATCCTATAGGTTTCCCCCTAGGATATGCCATCTAGTTTCAATTTAAAACCTAAGTTCCATAAATTACCGCTGCACAGAAGTTGCTTTAACACGCCGTTTATGCAGGTAATGGTGCACATTTGTAGCAGAAGTGTTTCAGAGTCCCCACTCCTGGGATTACAGATCCACAGTAAGCTGGGAAATGGGAAACAATGCAGAGTTGGCCAGAAAATTGAACAAATCCACCTGAACGTATCGCGGCAAATCACACCTTAATGCTGGGAACTCTGTAGGGCGATGTTTCTACACCAGCATGGACATCTGGATTCCCTGCTTGCATAAAACAGAAAGTGTGTACATATTGTGTACCATGTGTGTGTGCATACCAGTTCATGAAAATGAATTTAGGAAGAGGATTAAGACATATTTATGGTAAGGCATAAATAAGGCCCATCACATCACCCGTTCTTAATCCTTGCTTTTATTCTCTGAGCATATGATTTTCTGGGAGAAATCAAGGCTTCGGAGAATAGCCAGTCTAAGTACTAAGTTTGACAACATTTCAACAGGTTATCATCCAAAATATTACTAAAATGTATGTAAATCTATTAAATTTCAGAATAAATATTTTTCTTCGAGGACTAATTTTGAATTTTGTAGAACCAAGTGCATTTCGGAAAGATTCCCTCTGTTTACGTGTGTTGTCTAACTAAAAAGAAAATCATGGCATTACAGCCATCAGAACTATTTTTCTGTTTATGAAGTCACAGTCTGGCTAAATGCTTTTCCTTAAGTATTTAGGTTTAATTCTTTTTCTTAGCACTTATTATATCTAATAGGCTTTAAACACCTGCTTCAAATTAGTGAAATGAAGTGTTTCTTGAGTACTGCTGGTGACTAACCTGGCAACTGCTGATTTTATAACAGTGTATTATATTTTGGTTTATTACTGAGTCATACAACTGGCATCTTTGGTTAGAGATTGATATGTGGCTTATACTGCACAAAGCTACAAGCAAGGTAGCTTTGAATGCCCAGGCTGTGAATATCCTGCTGAAGTGACTGGTGTGGAAGGGCCTGAGATGCTGTCTGCTCACAGACAAGATTCAGTAAACCAGTCTTTCATTCCCAGTTACAGGCCTGTCTTTTTGGTGATTTCCCTCACGTAAATTTGAAAGTATATCTTGTTACACGCAAGTAAAGGCTGTGTGTCAGTAATAAATACATCCTGCTGTCTGTTAGGCAGGGCTCATGGACTGTGTTGCTTCTTGAGAGTCTCTGGGAAGGAGTCAGGGATGCCTTGCCAGTGGGGAGGTGTATGTGAACCTTCAGGACTGACAGTTCCCTTCTCTGTGGTGCCCTTACCTTGCCTAGGGGCTGATCACTGCCAGGGCATTGCCTTTGGCATGTTTGATGTGAGTGCATCAGGCAAAAGAGGAAAGGTTTCACAAGAGAAGAAAATCCAGGATTTCAAGTTGAATCTTACATTGCTTGTGATAACATGTGGAACAAGGAATTATTTAAGGGAAGGATGAAGAAAAGGTGGAAAAAGGGGTGGGCTGTGACACAATGCAGCAAGAGAAACAAGTTTAGGTTGTATGTGGCACATGCTACTTTGGGACTGATATGCATACTCAGTGCATTCAAGTTTACTTGTGAATATGAATGGCCTAGGTAACTGAAGAATACATTTACAAAACACTTACACCCATATCATCCTATTTGCACTTACCTTGCCAAGCATCTGTGGGCCCTGGAACCTCATGAGAACAATTTTTTGAAATTTAGGAAAGATCTTGTCCTGTTATAGTACTGTTCTGCTTCCTTTTTTTATTTATCTTCTTTCTTATTTTTCTGCTTGTTCTTTCACTTTCTTTAGAGGTTCACATCCAGGATGGTAAGGTTGTAACTGTGACAATTCATTAGATCCAGTAATTGAAGTATTCTTGGGATGGCAGGTGACTGTTCATGGTAGCTGATGCTGCTGTTCCTGATGTAGCTGTTGCATATACGTGTTTCACATGTCTAAATGAATGCCTTGCTTTGATCCAACAGGCCAGAACCAGTACTGTGGACAAAGGATGGTGGAGAACTCCCAGATCCAGAGAGAATGGTTGTCAATGGCAGGGTTCTAAGCATCAGCTTCCTAAACAAAACAGACAATGGCACATACCGATGTGAAGCAAAAAATCCCATTGGCCGAAACAGCACAGAGTATGTCCTGATAGTGCATGGTGAGTGTGCTCTCCTTAGTGCATTCTATGCATATTTAACAGGTCCAGCTGATACTAGCAGGTGCTTATGGTCATTGTGGAAAGAATAGCAAGAAAATTTGGAAGTGTAATTGCATTTTTATCGATGCTGTCGCCTAGCTGAGGGGAGTGTGTTGTCTTTCCTTTAATGGCATGCTTCTCTTCTTACAGTTTAAACAAAATAACTTCTGCTCTGAACTTTTTGCTAAGTAAGCACCTGTAAAAATGTTTGGCACTGCGTGGGTACTGTTTCATAAATGCTTGCCTCAGGCCCAGCTATTCAGATAAAGCTGGTTACAAAAGGATATATGAAGAGAAATATCAGACAGGTGCGTGCTTGAGGTTTTCTGCTTGGCTTTTTGTAGACCACTGAAGACAGGACATCGGATGCTTCACACAAGTTACAGCCTGCTACTGAGAAAATTCAGCTCATACAAGTTACCTGGTATCACCTGGCCCTTCGTTACAGTCAGACTTCAGAACTCTGTCATGTCCAAAAAGCATCATACTGCTTCCAATAAAATGGAAAAATAGGAAGGCTCACATTAAATTACAGCTGTTTTTTTTTTTTTTCCTCTAATAAATTAGGCAACAATATGTGTCATGTAAAAAAACTGGTGCTGTCTACATCAATCATGAAATAGATTGATACAGCCCAGCTGTAGGGGAAACTGTAATATAAAATTAGCATTTGCCTTTAATACAGCCTGACAATTTGGATCTAGGAGTCTCAAAACATGGTGTTCTCTTATCACAGGTAATTCCTGGAAGGTTACGATTTCCATAATTTGAATTTTAATATAAGAGAATATAGAGGCAGAACCTCCACTTTAGTTCATGGTGGTACTTTTTTCCTCTATTTGTTTTTAAATGCAATTTCTTATAACTATGACAAAATAAAATGAAAAGATCTAACGCAAATTTTAGTCTTTAAATAGACAAGAGAATTATGTAGATTTTATTTGCTCATGATGAACTCAGTTACAACAAGTATACATTTCCTTGGTTGTTGTAAGGTGTCAGAAACATTTTTCACTGCAGGTTTACCTGCCTCTAGGTATTTGGCATAAAACTTCTAGTAAGTGCTGCTTTCAGGAATGAGATATTTATTGGCACTGTTGATGAAATGTCATTTATAAAAAGAAACACTTAGGTTCCTTTTCATTTTTCTTCAAGTTCACCATTAGTTTATGTAGGATTAGTGACACAAATAAGGAGCTCTTTGCACGAGGAACACGGAGCCTGTACTGCTGCGTGAGTATTTCTGTGTTAAAGACAAACAGCAAAACTAAACCCTCTAACCTCTATTTATATTGGCTGCCATGAGAAGAGGAAAAGAAAGAATGTCTTTTGCATCCCAGAGGCGGTGGTGTGGTGCTTGTTGGCTGCAGGCACAAAGTGCTCTGCCTTTGATGAGGTAACGGCTTCTGCACTTACCATATGTTGAAACTTCTGTCATTTGTGTTTTCTGCCCAATTTATTTATGTGATTATTTCTGAAAATATGGCCTTTTATAATGGGGGATCTTTTTCCATCAGTGGTGACTCTGCAATAGAACTCTATCAAAGAACAGTTCACCAGACCCGTTCTTGCACAGTGGTGTGTCCTCTGTTGATCTGATTATCTTGCATCAACTTTCTGGCAGTCTGTAAAATCATTCATTATCAGGGAGGCATTCTATTATATTTGGCAGCACATTAGGCATGTTATCAGGTTTAGCTTGCTCACTGCTGACCTTTTCTGTTATGAGTACCCGAGTTTTCCTAATTGCATTTCTGCGATTCCAGCGCTGGAGCTAGAGAAGGTAAATGTCAGGTGCTTTCCAGATTTCTGAAACAATCAGAGTTATGTGACAGAGCATGAGATGATGTTTAGTACTTAACAGCTTACTGGGGTTCAGAGTTGTAAGGTTTATTTTAAGTACAAAGGGGACTGACACAATTATTTTATCAAGTGTAGCACAATCAGTTGTATAGATAAATTTAAGCAGCCTTACCCCTTCTTTAGCTCATTACATTCATGAATGTCTCTAGTGAACCATAATCCTCCTAAAATTATACAATATTTTTTCTCTCTCTCTCTCTGGGGGGCTAGAAAACCTACTTTTTATCATTTTCTGAGATGCATTCTTCTCTTGAATAGAGGATGTATTATTTTCTTATCTTCCTAAATATATCTGGAAGCATCCTTTGATTTCTCATCCCTTCCCCTGTGCTTAACGTTTTGATGTAATTTTTTGTCCTACTCTTTTGTTAGAGCTCATTAATCATATGACTTCTTACCTTGAATATCAGGTTTCTAAGACAAGGTACATGCCAGATTTCCCACACGAGCTTGTGTGATGAAACAGGGGCATCAGTGGAAGGTATCCTCTGCAGAGGCAGGGAAGGGCAATATGATTCACAGCTTTCATTTTCTTATATGTACTGTGATTTTCATACATTTTATTCCTTTCTTTTTTCATTTCAATAAATTTTTATCTCTTTCTGTGTGTTAATGGTGTAAGAGCTTCATCTGGCTTCTCTCCTTTTTTCTTTTTTTTATTTTTTTTTGTCCCCCTAAGAAATCCAAATCTCAGTAATACTCAATCTACTAATTCTCTCAATTTTTTAAGTTATCATCCTAACTTAGAGAAGATTTAGGCAGCTTTAGTGTAGAGAGAATGTTGACTAAAAATGGAAAATATAATATATCACAATTAGAGATTAGGTGTTAGCAAAGTATTTATATATATTAATTATACAAACCAAGCAAAGAATATCTCATGCCTTTAACTGGACCTATCTAAACACAAAATTTATACAGAAGAGTAGTATTTTTTCCACTGTGAGTAGTGATAATGAGGTAATACTGTTTTGTTATTAAGTGATGGCAGAGAAAATAAATATTGCTGAAAGCAGATGAATGGAAATCTGTCCAAGACAATTAGTATCTGACAACATAAAAATTATTTTTAGATTTTTTTTGTATAATTAAAGAGACCAGACTTCAGAGAAATTTAATCTATTTGAATAAAGTTAAAGGCTTGAGTATTAAATATACTCATGCTGCTTTGCTGAATCAATGTGACTGCTAATTTCATTTTTCTTAACATTTATTGTTAATAATAAATGTCAAAAAAGTACTCTGTGAAGCAGGAAGGTGGGTACAAAGTCAGAGTTTATAGGCAGAAGCACAAAGGCAAGACATGTCATTTGCTCAAACATTTGTTTCATGCAGTAACAAAGGCACAGGCTTTAATGCCCATAGCTGTTGTCATTTCTGTATTCTAATTGGCAAGCTTAGTGCTTTAGAAGTGCACATTCTGGCTAGATATATTACACCCTTTCTTTGGTAATGGGCCCCAGGCAATTTTCACTCTCTTCCAATTTATTAAGAATTTTTGTTTACCTTTGTCCAAATACTAGTCATTAATCACCAGAAAACAGAGCAAACTGTCAAACTCACGTTGCTCAACCCAAAAACATAGACTCTGCTCGCCGAGCTCTGGTAATGACTGCAGTGATTTAGCTGGAGATGGGGAAGGAGGTGTTCCATCATAATCAGCCTGAGGACACGGCTGCTGTGTTTGGAGGAGCAGTTCACAACCCCGGGGTGTCACTGCCAGGGTCTCAGTTCAGCACTGCCTTGGAGTGAGTGACACGAGTCCACATCCTTGGGAAACCCTTAATGGAAACAGCAGTGCTTGGTAATTTGCAGCCCTATTTGAAACAGAGCGCCTTGGTGAGACATCCTGATATGCCAATCTACAGCCAGGCATTAAATTAATTGAAATAGTCAGAGCTATAATGTGTTGTGCAGCAATTATCTAGAAGAGCAGTATGGAAATGAACGTGAATCAGCAGCTGTGGATGGTCAAGGCAGTTCTTACTGCCCAAATTTTAACTAAGAAAGCATTTGAGCCAGTTATTTAGGATCTCTGGGGAATAAAAAGTGGCATGATATATTCCTTTGTTTTTAGCCTCTCAATTTTGTATTTTTTTTCTCCTTGGGCAAGCTTTTTTTTTTTACAAATAAAGGCAACTGAAAGACTGAGTTACAACCTCATTTGTATTTTGAAATGTGCTTTCAAAAACAAGGTCTCCTACAATGTGTAAGCCCAGAAGTCCCCCTGCACCTTTCCTAACTATAGAATTATTTATATTCCACCTGCTTGTCCAGTCCCAGTTCAAAACATTTGTCATCTTAGCTTCCACAGTAACCTGTGGCAACAAGGTTCTGAATTTAGTTATGTGCTTTGAGGGAAAAGTATTCTCTTTTGTTTGTGTAAGCCTGGTGCTTGATCTCTTCACTTTCCAACTTTACAAGCTATTTGGCCTCTTTTGCTGTTTGTGCTGCAAGTTTGCATTTAAAATTGTATTTGCTTTTTCCTTCAACGGATTCTCAAGTATTTCCACATTGGTCTCTACTTCTCACTAATTGTGATCTTAAACTCTGCAATTTCTTGAATTCTCTCCCATGAAGACCATTCTCCTTCTTTCATGGTCTTTTTTTGCCCCCTTTCTCCTTTGTTTTTTGATCTAGCTCTAAATCTCTGTGACTGACCGCTCTCCATATCTGGACCAGCACTATACCAAATCTGCACCAGACACCTTAGTTCATTAAATTCTCCCTCTAAATATATTTGTAGAGATTCATCTTCTATGTCTGACAATAATTCCAGCACCATGCACTTGTACATCTGTATAAGTTTTTGTTGCTTTTTTTTTTTTAATTGGTGGAAACTCTGTGGAATCCAAAACACATGAAATTAAACAAAGTCCTCTACCTCTATCTATTACAGATTATTTTGTCTTTGTCAGTTCATTTGCCCACAATCAGATTTTTTTTTTTTACATTTCATTTCTGTTTTGATGCCCTCATAGGGGGCCTTCTCTTTCCCTTATTTCTCTAACTCACTTGCATATCTCTCCATAAAAGTAGAAACTGAATAGAGCAGAAAATTGAAAAAAACCCTCAGGAGGCGAGGATATATTCTGCTT